TAAATAATAGTGCATTCTTGACTAAGCAGTGCTTCCAGGAAGTTACCAAAAATCTACAAGGTTAAGTGCTTTGACAACGTTAAGTGCCTATCCTGCAAGACAGGAATACAAAAATACCGTATACCCACAAAATGACATGCTCCCACTATATAATTAAGGCAAGGCAACCCTCTTACTTCAACATGACAAAACAATTGTAAAAAAAACTTTTCTTATTAAAAGTGCTGAAAAAGTCAAATGAGCAAAAGTTCAAAACAGTTTCCAAAGGTTACAGAAAGAGGCAAAGATCTGTGGAGCAAATAAGCAATCAAAAGGATCCAGACAACTCCAGAACAATCCTATACGAAACTACAAAAGCGAGTGAACCCAAGCTATATTTACATCCTGGCATAGCTTCAGCATAGTTCCAGAGTATATGCAAAGTGCAGCAGATAAGCATAGAATTCTCCTAAGAAATAAGCAGACTAAACTAAGTAATTTTTCTCCCCTTTCTAACACCCAATATATCAATTTCCAGAACCTTCCAGAAGATCCTCCAATCAGGCACTGAATTACTCTGAGCTTTCAAGAAGAAGAGAGTAACTTCTTTTGCCTTCCCTTAATTCAACTGAAATAATCCTGCAAATTAATTCAGTACCAAAGAGCTAGTGCAGACAGGCCTTGAAACTTTCTTTCTCACAAAGATAAGCCAGAGGTGATTAACACTTGTCTTCCAATTAACAGTGAGTACTTTTCCCCCTTCTCCTAATCAGCTAATCTACAAGGCCTGATTTCCAGAAGGGCAACAGAAAATATGAAATCCCTCCCCCCATTTTTGCAGTCTCTTGACAGAAGGTGGGCTGAGTCATTAGGCATAAGGACAGTCAAGCAGGTTCAAAACAAAGGCTTATCTAGCTCAACCACAGCAGCCAATGAGATGCCTAAGGAAAGTCCACAAGCAGGATATGATTGCAACATCAACTTCTAGTTCATGCTCCTCAGCAGTTGATGTACAGAGATATTTTAGATACTGGAGAGAATATACACCTATTGTTGCTTATAGCTATTGATAGCTTCATTGTCTGGATATTTTTCCACTCTCCTCAAAATGAGACATTAGGCAGGCAAGCTCTCCAGGTGATCACATTTGAAGGTATTCATACCCAACAGAGCAAAAGACTAGATAGACATAGTTACAGTACCAGCTAAATTTACAGGCCACCCAAATTTTTGACATTATACACACATGTGAAATATATCATGCAAAAAGTAACACTGTACAGTGGGGTCTCTACTTAAGAACTTAATCTGTATTGGAAGGTGGTTCTCAAGCGGAAAAATTCTTATGTAGAATCTGCATTTCCCATAGGAATGCACTGAAAACCATTTAATCCATATCTGCTCTTTTCCGTCCATAGAAACTAATGGGAAGCTGCTATTCCGCCTTCTACCACTAGAGGGGGATTTTTTCTTTTTTTTCCCCTTAGGTCAGGGAACAGTGTTAAAGGCACTTCTGACGAAGCTAATTTTGAAGCAATGGACTGAAAACCAATTAATCCGTTCTGGCTGTTTTTTTTATGTAGAGGTGCATTCGTACATTGAAGCATTAGTTCCCATAGGAACTAATGCAAAGCTGGTTAATACGTACTCTACCACTAGGGGGAGAACTTTTTTTAACCTAAGATGACCTAAGGTTAAAAAAAGAGCAGGAAAGATTTTTTTTCCTGTTCTTATCTGGATTTTTGTTCTCAAGTAGAAGCAAAACTTAGCAAATGGGGCGGTTCTTAAGTGGAATTGTTCTTAAGTAGGGACGTTCTTAAGCAGAGACCCCACTGTATAGTAGAACACTGAAGGCTCGTGTCAAAACCTTACGGATTTTTCAGAAACTGCTGAAGTTATGAGAAACAGCATTTGTTTTAGTATTCCAAAAACATATCTAAACAATGGTATTATTTTGCAATGGGTAAATTAAAAAGTTATCATCTGATCAGCTCCTTTTCATCATCTAATAATCTGTAAAGAAAACAAACACCATAAAATGCATTTTTACATATTCTGTTTCCTTAATAGGTTTAGATAAATTATTGCAATTTTAATTTGGCAATGTTCCTTCAACCACATAAACACTAGTCACTGTGTGAACTGATAATACTGAGCATTCAGAACCTACTGTTTAGGAAACAATATAATAAAATGGTATTAAAAGGTAAATTACTGAGGAACATTTCTTCTCCTCAGCAATTGTATTACTGAACATACATTTAACTGTTTTTTTTTCCTAAGCTTTCATCTTTAATTCCTGTAGCAAGCCTGAACAGCTAAGATTGTAAATAGCTAGTTATATATCCCTGGTTGAACAAATGTGCCAAAGTGCTGACCTTAAACAAGGATTCAACCAGTCTAAAAAAAAGTTCTGAGGCCCGTCACAACAGAAAAGGAAAGTCCACTTTTTCCAATAAGGACATTTATATGTTTGCAAACATTATGGAGGGCTGCAAACTAGAGGATCATCAGAAGTACCAAGTGTCTGAAGCTATAACTGGCATGACAGATAGTCAGAAGAAAATAATCTGTGGGATGAAGAGTCAATAAGAGATAGGATATCACACTCAGGTCCTCCAAGGCACAGGCCATTTCACACTATAAGACTCCCTCGTGGTTTGGGAAACAGGATAAAAATATTTCAATGTAAAGAATGACATGTAGAAAAAGGAGTCAAATGGAGGGCTATGCACCTTTGGCTGAAGTGAAGCCCAGGCAAAGTTGGTCTTCTGGTCACAACTGCCAAAGGACACGAGGACTGAGAGAGAAATGGTAACTTACTAATACTGTAATTGTTATGAAAATTCTGTGCTCACCTGAGCTACTTCAGTGGCCCACTGCTCCAGATTAGTCTCAAGTGCAGAGGAAGACTACTGTACACTACTAAATTAGGATTCAACTACAGTAGCAGTTTCAGTATCTTCTGAATGGGTGCAAGAAGAAGGATGCAATTTTTCCCTTTGCCCCAGGCAGCAAGATGTCTTGGCCCATGGTACAGAAACAGTCCCAAGATAAAACAATTCCATCAGCACCTACACAACCACACTTAAAAGTGTTTCAAAGCAGTTTGTGATACAAGTAGTGAGAGTTTTTTCGGAGTCCAACGGTGTACTCTATACACTTCACATATGTCATTGCAGTAATCTCTTATCAAAATGACTATCACAAAAGAAGCACGAATTGCTCTCAAAGCAGGGGTGAGATTTAAACCGGGGAGATTTCTGATCCACACATTTTAGCAAGCCACACAGAAATATCACCTCCCACACCTTGGTTGAAGTACTGTGTATATAATACATTTTACGCACAAGTCGTCCTTTTCTTTCCACAAAGTATTATCGGACAGAACGGAAGGATTGCAGTGTACACACACACACACACCCCATTTCAAAGTGCTGGAAAGAGGAGGAGGAGGAAGGGAATACCCTTCCTTTCATAGCGACCCCCTCTTAAGTTCTGACGGAGGGGCAGCGCTCCGCCCGCGAGCAGGCCGGCTGGCCGCCTCACGAAGAGGGCAGAGGCGGCCGAGCGGGCGGGGCGGCCTCAAGGCTTGGCATGCCGCATGCGCATTGAAGTTGCCGGCTCTTTGCCGGGCAGAGCCGGCAGGCAGTTTGAAGGAAACGGAGCGGCGGTCTTCATGGTGCAGGGTCAGGACAGCGGCGGGGAAGCTGCTGCTGATGTTCCCCTTGCTGTGGCGGCGGGAGAAGGAGGAGAGGAGAGATGGGAAGAGGAAGCCTCTCTCCCTGGGACCCAGGACGGGGACGAAGGAGCCAGGCAGGAACACCCCTGCCTAGGCTACCAGGTGCACGACATGGAAGCGGCGGACGCTCCTCAGCCTGGCGACACCTCCTGCTCCGGCTGCCTCCGCGGAAGTTTGCCGTGGAGACGCGCGGCGCCCGGTGGGTGAGGACGGCCGGCGGCAGGCTTCTGGGGCGGCGCGGGCAGGGCAGGGCAGGGCAGGACCCAGCGCGGGCAAAGAGCCTGGTGGCGCCTGCCCTTGACCTCCGGCGGAGGTGCGGAGAAAGGAGCCCGCTCGTCTCCCTGGCGCGCCCCGTGGAGGGGGGGGGTCAAGGCAAAAGGTGCCCGGCGAGCTGGCACTCCTTCCTGGCGTGGGCCGGGCGGCTCTATAGTAAACAACTCCCAACCCCCCCTTCACCAAGTGAGGTGCCCTCGAGTCCTTGCCTTCTAGAATTTCTGACATAAATTCTCCCCACAAAGTTTGAATCCCTGAACTTTTAGCAAGCCAGCAAACGCTAATGCTTTTTCTTCTGTAACCTCTTTAGTTTGTCTGTTAGTAAGTACATGGAAGTGATGGTTAAATTCTATCGTTTTAGGTTTCCATAGAAAGTCCTATACTGTGCCTCTCCGTTTTTAAAATACAGATTTTGGGCCCCCATCTCTTTTTGTTTCACAACGTTGTAGGAGGGAGGGAGGAAGTGTCTTTAATCGCTTGATTCCGCAGCAATTAACATGAGTCGGGTTCTGTGCTCCACAAACATAACTGAACATGTAAAGAGAAGTCTTTCCTTTTATTTACTGTATTTGTAATCTTCTTGCCTACAGTCACCTAACAAGGGTCATCTGCTCCTCAGTTTCCAAAAAAGCAGCATTGTGTGTTACAGCAGAAACAGCTGAAGAGCCCTGTGTTATGTTGAAGGAACACATTTATTATAACATCTCTCCCTAAGTGTCATTAGTCTACAAAATCTGATGCTTATAAATCTGTTTGTCTTTAGTGTGCGGTGCCTTTAGCATTTCCATTATGTGCTTCAAAACTGTGTTTTTCCTACAATTTTTTCAGTACACTTGTTTAAAAATCCATGTTTATGATTTTGAGTACAAAACCAGTTGAGTCCATATGACTTACAAATTAATTATGTAAAGCCCACTGGTGATGATATAATGTGCTTTTCAAGTGAAACTTCTTGCAAAGTGAGGCTGGAACTACATGTTTGCGATAACCAGGATAAAGTGCATTTCCTATGTTGGCTACAAATGGGTGTGGGTGGGCATGCACACTGTTGCCATGGTCATGTCAGGGCTGGACTCAGTGTCACATGATAAGAATATGGTGCCCTGCTCCCACCTTCTCTTTTAATTTTTTTAAAGGTTTATATTGTTGGATGTGTTATTTTAATTCAAAAGAGGAACCCGGTATCTGCATGTGTAAAACAGTGGCACAAAGGACAAAAGAAATTGAAGAAAGAACAGGGGTTAAGGGAGGGGCAAGAAAATATATCGAGCAGGGGAGATGGGGAGCAGATGAGCAGAGAACTGGTGAGGAAAAGTGGCAGTCCTGTACCAACTGATACTGTAGTGTACTTATGAAAAACAGAGCAAAAGAGAATAGGATTTGGCATCATTTTGAAGTGTGGTAGTTTTGACGTATGATATGACAGGAGTTGTAGCAGATTTAATCAAGTTCTTCTGGAGTGTAGTTTAGGCCTGGAGTTGTATTTATGGGATAGACTTTGTGAAGTGTTAGCCTATGTGGTTAATATGCTGTGAAGCTCTGGACCTACTGAAATAAAGTATATTTTGGAACAAAGAGTGTTCATATCCACTATTTCTAATTACACAAAATCTACATTGATATATTTGTCTGTTGTTATACATAAGCATGTTTCTTTGGAAAACAAAACAATATTGCCTACTTCAGGCAGCTATAGGAATATTAACTCATCATCCATCACCTGACATTCTACAGGCAGCACAAGACCATAACCTTTTGTTTGAAACAGTGCTTATTTGCCAGCCTTGCTCTCTATGAACAGCAAACAACAGTGCTTTAAATATCCGGAACTCCAGTATGTAGAATTTAGCTCATTGAGATATCTGCTGTGCTGAAGTTTTAATCCAGGTTTACATAAATGGATGAGAAGTTATATGGCAAATTATTGTCCTCCTCTCTGTCAAGCAGTTTAGCTGTTCTGTTCTCCCCTGATGCTCCATTACCCATTTCATGAACCACAGGGGTGATATACATTGCCTTATCAATTTGTTCATGGGACTGTAAGAGATGCGAGTCTGGCATACAGAATTTTGACATTTTTTTGCAGCATATAACACCTCTGAGTAGCTTGCAGGACTATTCTATTTAGAGATGGGCACAAACTGCCAGTTTGTGCTAATTCCTCATTTGAATGAACAGGTATTCAGCAGTTCTCAGCCCTGCCTCCTCTGGTGGGTGCCCATTCAAAGGCAGCACCCCAGCTTCTCTGAGTGGGTGCCTGCTGGAGGAGGCAAGGGTGGGAGGTGCCAAACACCTGTTTGGCCAAAGGACAAACTCATGAACAGCCAAACTGCTGGTTCATGCCCATCTCTAATCCCATTTATTACATCAGGTTTTAATGGACACAGTAAATCTGTGTCTGTAATGAAGTGGTCCCCAACCTTTCTGACACTAGGGACCAGTTTAGTCCCATTCTCCCAAGGACCGGGGGTAGGGGTGGGGAATTGTTCTGTACTAGGTTGTTGGAAGATAGCTTTGAATTGAGCTCCTTACACGTATTGTGCCAGGACAGATGAGTGGCAAGCAGGAGCAGGAGGTGAACTGCAATTAAAGCTCCACCTCCTTTTAGATCAATAGCAGCTTAGAACTAATAGGAGTGCAGGCTCCTACCCTGTTTCCCCAAAAATGAGACCTAACTTGAAAATAAGGCCTAGTATGATTTTTCAGGATGCTCGTAATATAAGCCTTACTCCAAAAATAACCCCCCAGCTCAAAACCGTGTTGCAAAAACACGCAGAACAGTTTTTTAAAAGGAGAAAACAGCATCTCACCTTACCAGGCAGCCCGAAGCCTCCCTGCAAACACACACACACACACACATGCTTACTCAGAAGCAGACACGGGGCAGTCCCAAGCCTTCTCCGACGCACACCTTAGCAGAAATAAAAGTGGCCTTGGATTCCCCTCGCCTCCAGCAAGGCACCTGGAAAGGATAACATCCCTGTTGAAGTGCTGTAAAGACATCATCACCACCGAACTGTATGAAGTCTTTCGTCTCTACTGGAGGGAAGGTGGAGTACCACAGGACATGAGGGATGCAAACATCGTCACATTGTACAGGAACAAAGGAGACAGAGGTGACTGCAATAACTACCGTGGCATCTCTCTTCTCAACATTGTAGGGAAGCTGCTTGCCCATGTTGTGCTGAAGAGACTCCAGGTGCTTGCAGACAGTCTATCCAGAATCACAGTGTGGATTTCGAGCTAATAGATCCACCACTAGCATGGTATTCTCCCTCAGACAGTTGCAGGAGAAATGTAGGGAACAACGACTGCCACTCTTTGTGGCCTTCATAGATTTCACAAAGGCCTTTGATTTGGTTAGCAGGGATGGCTTTTTTAAAATATTTCCTAAGATTGGACATCCTCCTCGACTCCTTAGCATCATCAGGTCCTTTCCTGAGGGAATGAAGGGCACTGTAGTTTTTGATGGCTCAACATCAGATCCCTTTGACATCCAAAGCGGAGTGAAACAGGGCTGTGTCCTCATGCTGACCCTGTTCGGGATCTTTTTTGCTGTCATGCTGAAGCACGCCTTTGGAACTGCAATAGAAGGTGTCTATCTCCGGACTAGATCAGATGGAAAGCTCTTTAATCTCTCTAGATTGAGAGCGAAGACCAAAGTCCAGCTGAAATGCCTGCGGGAATTCCTCTTTGGCGATGATGCAGCCATTGATGCCCACTCTGCTGAAGACTTCAAACAACTCATGAATTGTTTTAGCAAGGCCTGCCAAGACTTTGGACCTTGGCTCAATGACCTCTGACACTCTCTCCCTAGTTGTCGAGCTGGATAAACGCGTTGGGAAAGCAGCTACCATGTTCTCTAGACTCAAAAAGAGAGTATGGCTTAATAAGAAGCTGACGGCATACATCAAAATCCAGGTCTATAGAGCCTGTGTCCTGAGCACACTCCTGTACTGCAGTGAGTCCTGGACCCTTTGTGCACGGCAGGAGAGGAAGCTGAACACGTTCCATATGCATTGTCTCCAACGGATTTTTGGTATCACCTGGCAGGACAAAGTCCAAAATAGAGTAGTCCTAAATTGAGCTGGAATTTTTAGCATGTATACATTACTGAAACAG